ATATAAAAAATTAAAATTAAAACAATTAAAGTAATAAATTAATAAAAAATAACAAATAATAAAATAATAAATTAATTTTAACTTCTACCCATCAGGTGAAATTTTAGAGAGAAATAAGGAATAAGGTATTTGTAACAAGGTCCATCATATTATGTTTTTTTTTTTTTTTATCGAAGAAAAAAGAACCATTGATATGTGTAGTCATTTAAACATTGGAATAATTTATAACCAACCTAAGACGATCCATTCCAGGAAGGGAGAAAAAATCTTCAAGATACTGAAGTGTGTTAATTACAATAGCCTGATTTCTTCCGACACGATTTCTAAATGATAAATGATTTTGTCTTGTTCTGTTACTTATTATAAGTGAGATAATTAAAGCAAGTACACTAAAGAAATAAAAGAATCAATGTTAAATTTTTAAAAAAAAAACAACAATATGATGATTTTTTTTTTTTTTTTTTGATAAGGATGAAATTAAGGAGTAATAGGTAAGACACCTGGGGCGAAGATTAATATTATAATAAGATGATCCATGCTGATACCGTCTTCCATTTCCATCTCCTTCAACTGCTTCCGTTTCACCAGCCCTGGAGTCTCTATTTTGATTTCCCCTCCCAGCTACTCTTTCAAAAAGAAATTGACCAAGTTGATTTCGAACCTAAAATAAAATGTTTTACTTAAAAGAGCATTTAAATAATTTTAAGTTGGGTTACATTAATAATATTTGAAAATATAAAAGATATTTTCATAAACTTTTTAAATGTATACATTAAACTAATAACTAAATATGGGTGGTTTATCAATAATTTAGTACAAAAAATGAAAACACACTCTGACTAGGTCACAGCATAAAAGATAATTGTTGTTAAACTTATTATTATATAGCTAAATAACTTACATCAGAAAAAAATTCTTCCACTTCATCATCGCTGTGATCATCACTTGGATCGTCAGAAGTGTTTGTCGAATCCAATTCTTCTATGAATCCTCCACGACATGTAGGACATGTGTAATCCTGTAATTTAAACAGTTATAAAAATAAACAAACCGATAAAATTATTTTTTAAACGCGTCATATCACTACATCGTGAAATATAAAATAAAAACTCACAATAAAACAATTGATAACTAAAAATAAAACTATTCATTAATAAATAAAAAAAAAAAAAAGTAATTATGTACGCTTACTTCTAAAACACGCGTAATTTCGATGCTGCATTTGTGACAGAAAAATCTATTGGTTGTATTATCTTCGACTGTAGCTTCTGCCATTTTTTTCTACTTAAATAGTGTCAAATCTTAATTCACTAGCCAGCTAAATAAAATTGCATGACAGAAATGATTAAATCAAATGTTGAGTAAAGTGAGTAATGTTATTTAATGCTTAGCTTTTGGTTGAATTTTTTCATAGAGTAAAAATAATTTTCATTAAAATTTCAGACCGACAACGTTTATTTAATTTTTTTTTTTTTTTACCGTTTGCCAATTTTTATTTTACCAAAAAAAAAAAATAATAATAATTTTAAAAAAAAAAAAATTTATAAATACATATTTATTTTGCGAGTAAATTCAAATAACACGTTTCAATAAATGTAAACATTAAAAGCTTAACTTTTATGTAATTTTAATTTTTTTAAAATACTCTGTCTGTTTGAGAAACGATGTAAACAAATAATTAGTGTGGTATCCCTGGTAATTAATTAAATTTTGCTGTTCGTGGAATACGAGATTAGAATAAAAAAACCAAAAGTATTATTGACGTGTATTAAAATTAATAATTA